GGAGGGTGGAACTGCATGCGAACGCTGCCACTGGTGCCTTCGGTGGAGCTCCCTATGGGGCCACGAACCCTGTGAGGGATGCGCCGAAATGATGTGGAACTGCATGCGAACGCTGCCTCTAGGGCCTTCGGTGAAGCTCCCTATGGGGCAGCGAACCCTGTGAGGGGTGCGCCGAAATGAGGGTGGAACTGCATGCGAACGCTGCCACTGGTGCCTTCGGTGGAGCTCCCTATGGGGCCACGAACCCTGTGAGGGGTGCGCCGAAATGAAGGTGGAACTGCATGCGAACGCTGCCACTCGGGCCTTCGGTGGAGCTCCCTACGGGACCACGAACCCTGTGAGGGGTGCGCCGAAGTGAAGGTGGAACTGCATGCGAACGCTGTCACTGGGGTCTTCGGTTGAGCTCCCCATGGGGCCACGAACCCTGTGAGGGGTGCGCCGAAATGAGGGTGGAAGTGCATGCGAACGCTGCCACTGGTGCCTTCGGTGGAGCTCCCTATGGAGCCACGAACCTTGTGAGGAGTGCGCCGAAATGAAGGTGGAACTGCATGCGAACGCTGCCACTGGGGCCTTCGGTGGAGCTCACTGTGGGGCCACGAACCGTGTGAGGGGTGCGCCGAAATGAAGGTGGAACTGCATACGAACGCTGCCACTGGGGCCTTCGGTGGAGCTCCCTATGGGGCCACGAACCCTGTGAGGGTTGCGCCGAAATGAAGGTGGAACTGCATGCGAACGCTGCCACTGGGGCCTTCGGTGGAGCTCCCTATGGGGCCACGAACCGTGTGAGGGGTGCGCCGAAATGAGGTCGGAACTGCATGCGAACGCTGCCACTGGTGCCTTCGGTGGGGCTCCCTATGGGGCCACGAACCCTGTGAAGGGTGCGCCGAAATGAGGGTGGAACTGCATGCGAACGCTGCCACTCGGGCTTTCGGTGGAGCTCCCTATGGGGCCACGAACCCTGTGAGGGGTGCGCCGAAATGGGGGTGGAACTGCATGCGAACGCTGCCACTGGTGCCTTCGGTGGAGCTCCCTATGGGGCCACGAACCCTTTGAGGAATGCGCCGAAATGATGTGGAATTGCATGCGAACGCTTCCACTGGGGCCTTCGGTGGAGCTCCCTACGGGACCACGAACCCTGTGAGGGGTGCGCCGAAATGAAGGTGGAACTGCATGCGAACGCTGCCACTGGGGCCTTCGGTGGAGCTCCCTATGGGGCCATGAACCCTGTGAGGGGTGTGCCGAAACAGAGACATGCAAGGGGCAGGGGCAAGGAAGGTGAGGAGGAGGAGGAGGAGGAGCAGGAGGGGAGGCAGCGGGAGGAGAAGGAAGGAGGACGCGGGCGCTGTCTCTTCAAAACGAGTACCCAGCACCACAGGATGGTTGGGAAATATATAGGGGATGATTTGGATTTGTGTTTATCTATTTGTGTGTGTGTCCCAGGCCCCCTCTACGTAAACTTCCATTTGTTCCAGCTTCTCTGCGCATAAGCCCGGAACGTCGGAGGCACGTGCGCGAACTCTTCGGGACTCGCCCGCCAGGCGCGCCAGGGGCGGCGCCTCCGGCGCCGCCAGGGGGGCTCCAACGCCGATCCAAATCTCAGGAAGACAATTATCGGGTGGGGAGGATGGGGTTTGGGAGAAATGAGGGAAGTATTGCCCGTAGGCGGCCGAAGGTGTCGTTCACTGCAGCCGGATGCTATTGCTCATGCCCTTCATCCTCCCAACCCCTTCTTCCAAACACGATACGTGCTCTCCTCATCATCGCCATGGGGGAGACGGGACGGGTCCTGAGGGAGACGGGTCCTGAGGTGTCTCGCCGTTCTCGGGCCCTCGGAGCTCTGCACGGGCCTCGGGGCTGGCAGAAAGCGACGCGGGAGGAAGGTCTCGTCCCGGGCGAAGGCCCCGGGGTCCGGGCGCCGGGCGCGTTTTTCCTGCAGGACCCGCTTGCCCCTCGTGTTGAACCAGGAGATCCACGCGGACCTCTGGAAGCCTGCAGTGGAAAGCCCATGCCAAGAAGCGCCCTTGCTTGCCTCGGGTGCCCGGTCTTTGGAGGGAGGGGCCTTGTCCTGGCCCCAGGACAGCTTGGCGCCTGCATTCAAGCGTGTTTCTGACTCGCCTTGCGCATGCTCTTCGAGTGCTTGCGGCGTTCACGTGGCGCGCCTCCAATCTGGCCTCCGGGTGCCTTTTTCGGCCTCGTTGCTCGGCTGCTGGCTGCTTGGCTCTGGTGTGCGAATGCTTGTGTTCACCTTACCGTCAGCTTGCGCTTAGCTCGCGAAGCTCAGCGTGCATACAGCTCGAACTTAGCTCGGCTTTCCGTTTGGTGTAATGTTAGTTCGTTGTTCGATCTCGGTTAGGACCTCTGATATGTGTCCAGCAGTTTGTGATTATAGTACATATGGATTGTGTCGAGTTTGTGGATACCAACCCAACCCTCTAAGGCTTGCGTTTAGTTGTTGAGTAGTTTGCACGTGGCTGGCAGTTGGATGAGCGGCTCGCTTGCG